TTATCGTTTAGGGAAACCTGAGTTCATCTTTCAGTTCTTGAAAACTGAATGGGAGGATGGTTTGAATGTTTGAAACTGTGAGGTCCTAGATAGTCCATTAGTTTAAGGTCAAAACTGCAGAGGGGTTTGTAGACACAGTTGGAACAGGATGGGGGCGTGTGTCTCCCCTGGTGCCCCCAGCTCCCCACCCCCTTGGCCTCCCAGTCCACCCTGCTTCCCCAGGCCTCCCTACACCCCTGGCCTTACCTGCCCCCTGGCCCTCCCCAGCCTTCCTCATCCTCCCCAGACTCCCAGCTCCCTTGGAACCCCCCGGCCCCTTGGCCCTGTCCCCTGGCTTTCCCTGGCCACCCACCCCCGGCATCCCTGAACCCAACCCTAGCCCATTCGCCCTGCACCCCTGGATACCCCAGCCTCCCTGGCTCCCTGGGACAACCCCCAGCCCCCTGGCCCTGCCGCCTGGACCACCTTGTACCCCCAGGCCCCTCTGCACCCCCTGTAGTGGTTGGCCCACGGGACCCATCAGTCTCAGGGTGGGGGCAGGGGGTGCGTGGGGAGCCAGGCACCCCTGTCTCTCTGGCCCAACCCAGGCCAGTTTCCTAGCTGCACAAAGCTGACAGCTACCTGCAGCACATGCAGCCCCAAGGATAGGAGCATGCTCCCCAGCCTCTCATGAGGGCTCGAATCCCACTGTGGGAGCTCTGCCCTCACGACCTCATCACCACATCCCATCGCCTTGGGGGGAGGATCTCCAAGTGTGAATTTAGGGGGCACATTCAGCCCAGAGAACTACCTGGTGGTGAGTGTTGGTAGCAATGAGATTTAGCAGTAAGCTGCCCACTGGGCACCTGCTGCCCTGCCTGCATGAAGCACGTCAGGTGCGCAGCCCTGTCGGACCCATCCTGCCTAGGGGCTGAGGCTCCAGGGCTCCTGCTCTGAGCTGTGCATTCTCCTCTGCTAAGCCTGACTGAGGGGCTCTGGGCTGAAAGTTAGTTTCCTGGCGAGAAGTGGGCCGAATCAGGAGGGCACGCCCTCTCCTGGGGGTCCCTGCGATGCTCCAAGCTCAGTCCTTTCCCTCCACCCCTGACTGCTGGCATAGCGTGGGGAAAGCAGAGCAGAGCTGTGGTCACACCCACCTCCAGAGGGATGCACAGGCGGGCGGAGACGTTGGCTCTGAACGGCCTGTGGCAGGTCACCTGTCCTGGCTCCCCTGACCTGTCCACTGAGAAGTGGCCTTCACCTGGACCAGGAGCAAAGTGGCTGCCACCCTCTGGGCACCACAGCGCCATCCAGAGGCAGAGACAGGAACCCTCGGCTCCTCCACTCCCCCACCTCCCGCAGGAGATCCCCATTTTCTCCACACAGAGGCTGGTTAATTCTCAGCCATTTGGTGGACAGCTTGGACCCGTGTGGCTGAAGGGGTTCAGGTGACTCAGAGTGGAGGAGGGAGCCGAAAGCACAGAGGGGCCCGGCTCCTGCGGGGCTCAGGCTGAGCTGTGAGTCTGTCCCTCCTCCTGCCCTAGGGCCCCAGCTTGGTCTGACACACCTGGCGCTGAATGTCAGCCTCAAGTTCATCCTCCAGGCAAGGACATCTGTGAACGGGGTCTTGGAGGTACTCCCCCACCTCTCACCGGCCCAGGGTCCAGGTGGCCAGAGGTGGGGTGGCTGCCTGCACGGTGGGGCCAATGGGCAGTGGGCCCTGGTGGGAGCCCATTACCCATGGCTTGATCCCCTCTGTGAGGACAGGACGGGGCCAGCAGGCGGGACAGAGGCTCCCAGGGGCACGAGGTGCTTGGACGCAGATGGGCCTCCTGTTCTGGGGCTGGTCTGGCAGGGAGCTACCCTCGCCGCAGGCCTTGGTGCCCTTCCCTGCCTGGGACCTCCCTCCTCTCTGCCTCCTCACCAAGCCTGGCCTGGGGGACATACTGACTTTCTCTTACACTTTCATCAGCTTCCCAAACAGACAGGCCCTCACTGCTCCCTGCCAGCCTTTCTCCCTGACCCAGTACCACCGGCACAGGGGGAGGGGACTGGGAGCCATGCCTTGTCCCTTGTCACAGAGGAGGCCGGGCATGCAGACGTGGTACCCTCCAGAGAGTGCCCAGCAGCAGGGCTGTGCTCCAGAGGCCTCCATCCAGAGCAAGCAGCCCTGCCCACAGCCCAGACTACCCTTCCATCCCTGCTCAGGTGCCCAGGCTCCTCGCAGGTCAGAGGCTCAGGTGAGACCAGAGTCACAGGGAGAAGAGAGAAGGGCAACTCAGGGGGGATGAAGTGACAGACCCAGGGTGATGGGCAGAGCTGGGGACGTAGCTGCTCGGAGGAGCAGGATGGTCAGGGGGAGAGGGCTGCATCTCTGATGGGGCTGCGTCTCCTGCGGGGCTGCTCCCCAGGACCCTGTTGCTGTGTCATCCCCTTTGCCCACTGGCAAGGGAATCACAGGGACCCCAAGCCTGTGGGCTCTGGCTGGGGCCTTCCAAACCCTTTGGAGTTTGCTGCCCTGTTTCAGCATCCCTAGTGCCCTGAACTCGGGGGACCTGGGAAGTGAGGGGGTAGGCGCCATCAGATCAGATGGATTTTCTGGAAAGCGGCCCCTCAGTCCTGCAGGACAGTCTCTGAATCGCATTCAGTCTCTTTCTGTCTTGCCACAGGCCTGGGGGTGGGGCGTACTGGCGGCCCTGCTCGCACGCGAGGACCTGGCCAGGGTCCAGGTGGCTGCCACTGCGGTCCTGACAGCCCCATCGCGTGACAGGAGCACAGGGAGGCCCTGCTGGGCGTGCCCGCCGGGATGTGGCTGCGGAGGAGGGGAAGTGGGGCGTGGGGCGGGGGTGGGAATGCTGGGGGAGCTGGGGAGGGGGAGAATTCTATTAGGTGGGGGTGCCCCTACTTTCCTCCAGGGGGTGTGGGAGGGTGAGCACAGAGGCCCCTGTGCATCTGGCCACATCAGAGTGCGGGGTGGGATCTGGGTGGGCTCTGGGTGGGAGTTAGCGCCCTGCTTTTTCTGGCCCTAGATGCTCCCCAGCCTCACAGCTGTGGGTGTCAGCATCCCCCCCATGGGGTCTGCAGGGCCGAGCAGGAGGTGACGGGCCTCCCCTTCCCCTCAATTAGAGGGTGTATTGGGGAGGCCTGGGAGCAGGGCTCTGGGTGGGCTGGGACAGCCCCTGCAATGGAACTCTTGCTGTAGGGTGGCCTTGCTGGGATGTGGGCCAGGACCCTGGAGCTCCAAGGTGGTACCCTGTTCCTGCCCCATTACTGCCCCTGGCTTTCATCTAGCCCCAAGGCCCCTGGGCACTGCCCAGGCTCTGTCGGTGCCCGACCTGGGTGGCCCCAGTCCTGGGGGGAAATGTGGCTTCCTGGGCCGTTGTAGGTCAGGAGCCCCTGGGTAGGCTGGTGAGCTGGCCTGGCCTGGGAAAGCACCCCCGGGCTGCGGGGAGAATGTGCCCGACCCCTGCTGGACACTCTCAGCCAGTGTTCCTCCCACTTTGTCTTCTCGGCCACTGAGAACACAGGGTGGGGGTGTGACCCTGCGTCAGAGGCTCCCCTCAACCTTCCTGGGCTTCTGTGTCCAGGTTCCCTTGGGGTCCCGGCCCCTTTTGGCATGGCTTCTGCAAGCCCTGGGGGTGAACTGCACGGAACCAAAGCTGGTGTCTCACTGGCTGGAAGGCAGGTGAGGGCATGAGCTCGGTTGCTGGTGAGGTTTTGTGGGGGCAGACCCCTCGCCTCTGCTGTGATTGCTTGTTTCCTGGGGTGCACCTGCTTTCTGGCTGAGGAAATGGTGTGTTCTTGTTATGTTTAGTACAATGAATGGGGGTCTGGTGCTCATGAGCTGTGGGAGAGGAGGGTGGTGGAGAGCCTTCCTGGGGAGGGGGGATCAAAGCCAGCCTGTGGGTGCTTGGGTCTCCAGCGTCTCTGCATCGGGAACCGTGGGCACAGATGAGGGGGACCAGCATGGCCTCTGCCTGTGGAAGGGATTGTAGCCCAGCGGTCATCAGCTGGTGAAGGCGAGGGTCAGGGATCTCCATCAGCAGAGGGGCAGGGTGCCATCTGGCAGGAGGAGGGTTGGACCAAATGTCTCAGCCTGGGTTGTAGCAGGACCTGCTGTCGGGGGCCCAGCCTGCGGCCTGTGTTTCTAGCAGGCTCCATGGGGAGCAGAGGTGCCCGTCCCACAAGCAGCCGACCCTGGGCTGAGCATGGCTCAGTGGGAATGCAAAGGCCTTGGGTGGTTTTCCACAGTCGGGAAGTAACGGACCAGGCTCCCAGAGGGAAAGGCTGCTGGTTTTGAAAGAAAATGTGGGAGATTTAGGGCCTAAACCAGAACCAGAGCGAGTGTCCCTTCTGCGGGAGCCACAGGCCAGGGACTGCAGGTATCCCCGGTCACCTGAGCTTGCCTGTGAATCCTGGAAGTGAAGGGGCTGGGCGCCTCCCACGGGCCCTCCATCCAGCTCCGGGCTGGGCCCACTGTGAGCGGGAGTGTGGATGACGCCTGTGTCTGTCTGACCTGCATGTCTGTAGGTCCTGCCTCTCCACTCCAAAGTGGAGATGGTCCAACGGAGGTAGAAACGGAGGTGCCAGGACACTGCTGTCTGCGGGTACCCGAATGCCAGGAAAGGGTGGTGTGCTCAGCAGGGTGTGCCCCGCCCCTGGTGGGGGCTGGGGCTGAGAGGAGCTGAGGGCAGGCTCCAGCGGGAGGGGAAAGGCACATGGTGGTCAGAGCCACCGAGCTTGGGTCTGAGAGGAACTTCGAGGCGGGTGGGGCTCGAGGGCTCTGTGGAGGGCAGAGAGCAGTCTGGGGAGCAGAGGGCATCCAGCCTGACCTCCCCATCTCCTGAATGTCACTTGGTGCTCCGAGGGGGGCCCTGCCTCAGCTCCCCCTGTGGCCTGGGGTCTGGGCTGCCCACTCAGCATGGGGGGCACTTCAGTGGTGGAGGAGGGCAGCGAGGAGGCAGGCAATGGGGACGCAGGCCTCGGCCTGGGCGCCCACCCACCTGCTTGTTCTTCCCTAACAGCCATGCGAGAGAAGAGCCCTCAGCCACCGGCAGCTGGAGCCCCCTCACCAGGAGACAGTCCCTACGGACGGCCCCCCGTGCTGGAAGGAAGGCTGCTGCTGGAGGTGAGCCTCTTCGCCCTCTGATCTCACGGTGTTACCCGGGCACCTGTGCAGACCCGCAGGTCTACAGCAGGCTAGAATTCAGGGCTCTGAGCACTAAGGGGTATAGCTCTGGGACTTCGGCAGCATGAGGCCGGGACTCCACGTGCGGTTAAGGGCCTCAGGAACATGGGGTTGGGGCTGGAGGCTCTGTGTGCGGTCAGTCCAGTTGGGACAGAGAGAACCAGCCAGTGACATGTCAGCCCCTGCATTTCAAATCTGAAAATTATTTTTCATTTTTTCCCTGGTTTTACTTGTCAACAGAGAACCTAGTAAAAAATTAGGCAAGTTTTGTTATTTTTGTTTTTTCAAATCAGACAGAAAACTGTGTTGAGCTTCCCTGGGTCTGGCAGGCGTGCCCACTGGCCCATTTAACATTACACGTTGGACACTGTGGGCCTTGTCACTTGAGTTGGACCAGCCCCCCCCTGCCCCGCTATTCTGGTTGCTCTGCTTTCTGACACCCACATGCGCCTGTTACAGGTGGGCTGGGGACGCTGTGGCCAGTTTCTTAAGCAAGTCAGGATAGCGTGGGGGCTGTTTCATACAGTGAGGGGATCACTGTCTCTGCCAGCAGCTGAGAGGCAATCAGAGACCCTGGCCCTGGTTGGCAGCATCTCAGGAGGGGCTGCAGGAGACAAGTGGGTGTGGGGCTGAGCAGGGAAGCCCAGGGAAGCTGCCAGCCCGTTTGCCTCCCCACATTCCATCCTTAGCTGACTTGAGGGCAGAAAGGGCAGGGTAGGAAAAGATGAAAAACAATTTTCAGATTTGAAATGCAGGGGCTGTCTGGTTCTCTCTGTCCCAACCGGACTGACTGCACATAGAGCCTCCAGCCCCAACCCCATGTTCCTGAGGCCCTTAACCGCACGTGGAGTCCCGGCTTCATGCTGCCGAGGTCCCAGAGCTCGGTCCCAGAGGGCATCCTGCATGTGCTAGATGGAGCCCAGGTTGGGAGTGACCCCATCTCTGCAGCACCTAGGGGGCAGGTGCAGTGAGGGTAACAAGTGGACATACTGACAGACAGATGTGAGATGGACTGGTTTCAGAGGTCAGGGAGCTGGAGCTGCTTGCCACCTGGGACTTGGGGGCTAGCACCACACGTAGCTGGGTGACTGTGTTCCCATGTGACCCCCATGATCCCATGTGGCCCCATGTGGACCCTGCAACCCTCCAAGACCCCCCATGCTTCTACCCTTGCTGAGGGGGTTGGATGTGCTCTCATGAGGATCAGGGAACCTATAATTCATTTCCTTGTTAAAAAGTTAAAACATGAGGAAGTGCAGCCTGCGTTGACTGGGTCTGCGCTGGGTCTCGGCAAGCTGCGCAGCTTGGGGGGTCACTCTCAGCTCTGCGGGCAGCACAGCAGGGAGGTGATAGCACACCACTTTTGGAAACACTGTGTTTTCAGTAGAGGAAATATTCCCATACTTCATACTTCATTATTTATCACGCTTCTTAAATATTATTGATGTTTCCTTTAAAATCGTTCTTTTCTGTCAGTGCTAGTAAACTTGGAGCTGGAAAATGTACCAGTCTGAATTTTATTCCTGGAAAAAGTCTATTGGCTTTGCTCTTTTCTAATAAAAAGATGATGAAAAGATGACACAGTCTTAATCATAAACTTTTTAAACAGTCCCAAGCTGTGCAGGAAGCTCGTGCACACAGTGCCCAGCCCTGTGAGAGCTCAGGGGACTGTTCCTCACTTCCTCACCTCTGCTGCCCAGGGCCCCATACACAGCTTCTCTGCTGGGTCCCCAGGGCTGTCCTGTCCCCACGGAGGTCTTTTCTCGGTATTCCTGGAGCTTGCTTCCAGTCCTGGTTGTACTAGGTCTTCCTTAGAGGCCTTGGGCTGTGGACTGACTGAGGCTGAAGCCCAGGGAACAACCAGTCCCGGCTCCAGAACTGACCCTCTCCCCTGGGGTCTGGGAGGGTGGGGAGGCCAGCCCTGCCTGGCTACCTGCCAAGTTCCCTCTTCGGTGCCAGCATGAAGGCTTTGGGGGCAGGCATGGGGGACAGATATGCTATGGAGCCGCCCTCCTCGGCAGGGACTTCTGGGAAAGAGGCCATGGTCCGAGGGGCCAGGGTATGTTGCCCATTGCTTGGGTTTCCCTGGCCAGGCTGGAAAAGTATCCATCCAGCTCCATTTTGGAGAATGAGGTGCAGTTCCTGAATCAGGTTAGGTCACAGGGCGAGGGGTTCCCTCTGTAGCATTTCTGGGATGGCGATGCTCAAGCTTTGGGATCAGGACTCTTCTGAAGTTCAGAAATAATTGCCAACAGAGAAAAATAGGTGAACAGTAATAAGGAAATCCAGCTTTTATTTCCAATCTTCAATTTCTTGAAAATAAACTGGAAAAAAGGAGAAGTTTAAAGCACAGCATCATAAATTCATAAATATTTAGAGCTGGCGCAGATTTCAGTGTGTCTGTGATCTAATGTCTGCCATTTGAAGATGCAGAAACCAGGATTTGGAGCCATTGGGGGCTCACCCAGGGCCCCCATTGGGGCTGGGACTAGCCCCTAGACCCAGCATTACCGTGTCTGCCTTTAGTGGCTCTGGGATCCAGTGGCCCTCGGCTTCCCCAGGAAGTCCACGTGGATGTGCAGCTACCTCCAGGGAGCAGCCAGGGCAGGCACTGCACAAGGTGGGGAGTATGGGGGACAGAGGCTGCGTGGGCAGAGGCCATGGCCAGCAGGATGGGAAGGTCTGGGCACACACTTGGGCTGTGTGGCTGGTGCAGCCTGGTGGCCACCGAATTGGTTTCCTGCAGCTGCTGTAAGAAATTACTGCAAAATGGGGGTTTGGACAACAGACATACCATAATTCTTGAGATGGGGGGCTCCTTCAGGTGGCTCTAGGGGACAGAGTGCTCCATGCCCGGGCATCTGCTGGCATTCTTCTGTGGCTGTGTCTCTGGGTCCAAATTTCCCCCTCACAAGTACAGTACACCCCTTGAATTGGATTTCAGGCCTGCTAATCCAGGAGACCTCATCTTAATTTAGTTACATCTGCAAACATCCCATTTCTAAGTAAAGTGACCTTCACAGGCTCCAGGTCAGCACGAATTTGGGGGCCACTATTCAGCCCAGTAGCCAATCCTTTTTACAGAGTCCTCAGGTGAGAGCTCAGTTGGGGGCAGAAACTCACACCTCCCCATCTCTGAGGCCCACGTGCTGTGCTGGGGCTGTTCTGAACCATGGGGCGTGGGACCATCGACCGGCACAGTGGACGCTCTTCCTGTCTCTGGCTCACAGCTGGGGGTGCTGAGGCTCAGGGTGGCCCAGTGTCACGTCCTGGTAAGGGCAGAGCAGCGGGCAGCCCCCTCTGCCCCCCCCTTTGGAGCCCTCCAAATCAGGGGTCCACAGTGGGCCTAAGCTAAGGGCTCTGCCCCAGGTGGCCCCATGGAACTCGGCAGTGTGAGGGCTGGTGTCAGAGGCTGGACCTTGTTCCACTGTCAGCCAAGACAAGGACTTAGCCCAGAGCCCCCTGCCCACCCTACAGAGCATTTTTGAGCCCTGGTTTCAATCTTCAAAGCCACTGGGGACAGACTGCACAGAGTGGATTGTGTCAGGCTCTAGGGTGCTGTCCCAGAGGCCTCTGGTTCCCACCCACCAGATGGAAACAGGAAGGTGGCAGGAAGCACTAGGCTGCTGGGGCCAGGCACCTGGAGGAGGCCAGTCTTCACTGCAAACCCGCATCAGGGGGGATTTTCTTGGGACATTCTACATGGAAGGTAAGACAGAGCCCAGTCGGAACCCAAGGGCGATGGACCCCTCATCTCTGGCCTCCGTAAGGGAAGGCTGGTGGTGTGCAGACCGTGCATGGGCCTCCTGGAGCACCATGCACAGGGCACGCCCCAGGACCAGGGTGCCGGGCAGGTGACCAGGTCTGGTACGACTCTCAGCTCCTCAAGGAAGAGCATCAAGTGAACTGGTGGCAACACAGGCGAGGTCCCAGGGGAGCCCAGGTGTGGGGATGCTCAAACCGGGGGCGGCTTGCACAGTATGGGCAGGGGTTTTGCCAGCAGATCAAGCAGAAATTTCGAGTGAATGTTAAATGGAAAAAGCCATGAATTCAGGCACTGCTAGTGATAGGGTCACAATTTCCCATCAAGTCCCTGAAAACTGAAGAGAATTAGCCTCCAAGGCTGTTGGATGGTGGGGGCCTGGCACCTGACACCAGCTCTTCTTGAGGAGAAGGAGAGTGAGACCAAACGATCACAAGGGAGTGTCGAGCGCCTCTCCGCCTGGACTCGGGTGACTGTCAAGAATGTGCTGCGAGCCTGTAGCCGCTAGGCCCTCCTGCAGCAGAAGCTCATGCGCCCTGCCAGCAGCGTGGTGGAAGGCACACACTGGGCTGAGCCCTGCCCTTACCTTGGCCCCAGAGCACCGACATCCTGGGAAAGGCCAAGGTGCCAGCATCTGGGCTGCCCACCAGAACTGCTCTGCCAGGTTGGCACCAGGCCACTGGGCGCTGCACTTCCTGGTGGCTGTCCTGCTCCCACTGCCACAGGGATCGGGACCCTTCAGGAAAGGGGCTCATGGAGCAAAACAGGGTCCAGGAAGATACAGGTGTGCAAAGGGCAGGAGCTGCCAAGCACCAAGCTGCCAGGCTCCCCAGACAAGCGGTGGCAGAGCTGCATCCAGGGAGGGTGGGCCACACTGCCAGGGCACCCAGGGACTCACAGGAGTTCAGCAGTTAGACACAGGAGAGCAAAGCGTGGATACCAACAGAAGGTGGGATGCTGGAGTCCAAGGGGCCTTTCTAAGAGTGAATGGAAGGTAGATGGGGAGTTCTGGAGAGCCAGCGTCGGCAGACCCCCTGAGACCTACCCAGGTGCAGCCGGCTGGGGAGGAAACTGCCATGGAGGCCCAAGGGGTGTGCTTCCTGCCTGGAAGGTCCCACATGGCAAGCACGGGTGGGAAGGACCAGCGCATCCGTCCTCCGACATCCCACACGTAGGA